GAAGTTTCTGGTTGTTTACTTGCAGCAGGAAATTGCCTCCGGCTACGATGTAGTGGACGGACCAAACGACGAAGGCGGCATCGTTCGCGGATCCGGAAGGCTGAGAACCAAGAAGTTCAGCATGTTCAGCTTTTGCTGCCAGGCGAGATGTTTACTCGGCCGGGCATCCTTGTGGACGCCTTTCCATCGCCTTATCCAAACGAGGAGGTCGGTCTCGGTGGGATTTCGGCGCAAGTGTTGCTCAGCGCAAGCTGTCAGAAGCAGGCCGCTCGCTATGCGAATGGCGGCGCGAACCCGCCTTGACCGCAGCTGAAGTTGCTCGAAACAGCACGGGGATGAGCCCAACCTTCCATCACAGGCCAGATCTCAGCGTGTATACGACCGCCAAACATGAAGGCCGGTGCTGCTGTGATTCTTGCCAGATGTCTCAGACGCCCGGTCTCCCTGGTACGCAGGCTTGGATTACATTTTCGCCTTGCTACTGGGTTACAGGGCGCTGGCCTTGGTCGCATGCCTTGCGAGACAAGTGACAAGGAGGAACACGAAGGTCGGATTGTCTATGGTTGCAACCCGATGGTTCCGGCAAGGACCCTCCTGCTGGCATTGAAGTGCGCGATGGGCTGTACTACAATGTGCAGCGTGTCTGAACCTTCCGAATCCTACTGACATCTGCAATTCTTAATTCGTGTGGGTGTCCATGACGTGCTCTCAAGATCCGTGCCAAATCAATGGTTCTGTCTTTCATGTTGGGATCCGAGGTACTTCCCCGGAGGCCAACAGATGATTGCTCGATTGAGTTCGTGGATTCCTGTTCCAAGTTCAGGGGCCGAAGGGATGCTTAGGGTAACCTAAGCTTTAGCAGCGTGACCTTGCGTGCAGGATCTTTGTTGCCGAAGCACCGGGGAGTTGTGCGTGTTGCGTAGTTTGATACTGATAGTGGCTTGCAGTGTACCTGGCCAAGTTAGCGGGGCACATTGTGCTGTCGAAGCACAAAGTGAAAGTGGTGTTGACGAGCATGTCGCGAAGCATGCCTGTTGCGCTTGCATTGGCCCTTGCAGCGACGCCGCACGACAGGCCTGATCGGAATGCCCAGCCCTCTGCACTCAGATGGCCTGGTCGATTACGAGGCTGCCAGATGGAGATGGCATGCAGTCGCTTTTCGGATTTTTCGATGTGCAATGTTTGGAGGACGGCACCCCATGCACGAAGTCGCAAATGGCTAAGGATGTGCCGGCCATGGTTTCGCATCACCACGTGTCCCCGAATGTCCCCGAATCTTGTAGGGAACACCTGACGACATGATCTAGTCATATGAGCATTTAGGCAATGTGAAAGACTGAAGCTATGTACGGAGGCATATTCCAAAGCAGGAGCCGAGGAGTGCGCATGGCAGAACGTCAACCTCGATCATGAAGACATGCAGTAGACGTATAGGCTTCCTTAGGACCGTCTTGTTTGCGTTTCCTTTTTCGTGTTGCTGATGATCTTTGAGGAGAGGCTTGCTAGTTCGAGTCCGAGTCGTAC